TGTTCTAAGATTGATTATGGTAAAGGTTATACAACTTTAAAAACCATTAAATTGTACACATTAAACTGAATTGTTTGGTATGTGAATTATATCTCGATAAAGCTATGCACCAAAAAAAGGCAAAAAAAAGATGGTATGAGGGAAATTGATTAACTAATGTGAGACAAAATAAGTAAAATCAAAGCTCAAACTCTGAACATACACAAAGATAAATAAATTCTGACTTGATTAAAGAGCTAAGTAAAAAAGTAATTAAAAAGCTTTGAGGGCCGAGCCTGTGGCGCACTCGGGAGAGTGCGGCGCTGGGAGCGCAGCGCCGCTCCCACCGTGAGTTTGGATCCTATATAGGAATGGCCGGTGCGCTCACTGGCTGAGCGCGGTGTGGGCGACACCACACCAAGGGTTGCGATCTTCTTACCGGTCACGAAAAAGACAAAAAAAAAAAAAAAAGCTTTGTATTCCATGTATATTCATAACTAATAAAAAAGTGGAAAATTTTAAAAATGCAAATAGAACTATCATGATGAGAAAGACCTTTTCAAACGTAAAACATGTTACAGGGGAAAATTAATAGGCATTATGACTATGTAAAAATTTAAGAACTGCATGTCAAAAAAATTTTTTTTCTGTACTTGAATTCACCTTAGCATACAAGCCTCCATTTCTGCTCAGAGTGGAAAAACCCAAACTTGGCAGTCACTTAATGGTTGTAAGCATAGCCATTTCTGGACTTAAGCCCAATCAATTCAGGATTGTCCCTGTCTTTTTTCCTTCTCCCCAGAGGTGGTCTGTTTTGGAGGGGATGGGGAGAGAAGAAGAGAGGGGAGCTTAGGTATCTTCCTGGCTCTGAAGGAGGGGTGTCTAGTCTGCAAAGCTCTGCTCTGATATAGAAGATGCTCAATATTTGGCTATTTGTTCTTCCTCCACATCCTGAGTCTTGAGAGAGAAAATGGGATGACCTTGACAATGGGCTCAGTTGCCATTTTGAGCCTCCAGTAAGGTTTGGCAATGCAGAGTCAGAGGCATTTCCTATTCCCCACAACATGATTTCAAGCCAGAACCATTCTCCTCAAGTGGAAAATGTTTGGAACAGCTGCCCTCGCTCTCAGCAGACAACCTAGTTTTCTATTTTTCTATTTTGCTGAGAAGATAGAGACCACACACAGATGGATATGCGTCATCCCAGATGTTTTACTTTGCATTCACAAAGATGTATTTGCAATACAAATACATACATGGATTGAGCTTTTTTTTAACATACATGCATATTTTTTGATACCTGCTTTTTCTACTTAAGAATTTTTTACAGATATTTTCCCATTTTAGTATATAACGATTCACTTCATTCTTTTTAATTGTTGTATTTAATATTTCATTAGTCCATTGGTAAAGGTTATTTGATTGTTTCCAATTTTTTGCTATTACAAATAAATGATACACTAAACATCCTGGAACATGTGTCTTTGTGTACAAAGGGTAACATTTTATAGGGTGGATTTTTAGATATGGATTGAATTGGTAGGTATGCTCCTTTTGATACTATCAAATTACCTTCAGATGTCTATACCAAGAATATGAGAGTTTTCCCCTTTTCATCAACATTATATAGGTTTTCAGTCTTCTAAAAATTTTGCCAGACTGATGAATGACAAATTACATCTCATTGTAATTTGTACTTTTCTGATTACTTTTTATATGTTTTTTGACTCCTTATTTTTTTCTTGAACCCATCTACTTTTTTCTATTTCTATCACCCTTACCCTTAGCCAAGCCACCATCTTCTCTCACCTCATCCACTGCCACAGCCAGCTGGTGTCCTCCACCCATCCACGTTCCTTTGCAACCCATTCTCTACATTGCAGCTGGAGTGAGCTTTCCAAAATGCAGATCTGATCACACCACCACAACTCATCCCCCTGCTAGACTAAAGTCACTTTAGAGGCATTACTTGCTATTATGAAGATTGACTAAAATCCTTAATGTGGTCTTAAAGTACCACACACTCGAGTCCTACTTCCCCGCACAGTTTCATCCAAGACCTCACTCTCTTGTGCTCTTTGTGTTCCAGCCACCTTGTCCTTTCAGTTCCTTGGATGTGCCATGTACTTTCCAATCAAAGAGAGCAAAAAAAAAAACTTTCCAATCAAAGACAGCAAAAAAAAAAAAAAAGAGGCAGAAAACATAACAGAGAAGATAAAAGGCATGGAAGGATCTATCAAGAGATTCAAAATCTGATTACATGGGGTTTTAGATGAAGAGATATGGAAGTGAAATGAAAGGGTGGAAATTTTTTTTAAATAATAGAAGGAAAATTTTTAAAGCTGGGGGTGAGCAGGAGAGTCAAGTTACCTCTTGTCGGGTCTGCCGCCAGCAACCGACCCGTACAGCCCTAGCATCGTTCCTTTCAGTGGGCGAGCAAATGGCCCGGGATTCCTCTTTCCCTCCAGTCCCCTTTTGAAGGAGACGGGGGAAGAGAGCCGTGAAGAGAGGTGAGCACACCGCCAGCCCCAAACCAGCCCAGTTAAAGGACACTCAGACATGGTGGGGGTTCTGTCAAAGCAGTTCCGTTTATTAGCACACAAGCATTGGCTTTTGTAGGTAAATGGCAAAGGCAGGTTTTTTACATCCTCCAATCAGCTTAAGGGTTAAAGGCATGCATCCTGTCTCAATACCTAGCTATTGCAATTACGCAGTGTTCACAAGTGCAGCCAATAAGGGCTAAGGCAAGGTTCCTGCAGACACTCCCACCCTGCTTTCTCCCGGCCGTTTTAGGCTGCCATGTTAACCCACTTGTAATGTCACTTTAAGGTGGTGTTAGCTTTTTAAAGGCCCAACATCTCCCCCTTTCTGTTTTAATAAGGCAGCTGGAGGTGGCTAACCTTCCCAGCCTTGCCTCCATTCCCTCTGGTAGCTGTGCCTGTCTTAGGTTGTTTCCCTCTGGAAATCTTACCTGTCATTGACTATCCAGCAAAGCGGGGGTGGGTGGACACTGAAAGCTTATGGAGGGGATAGAAAAGGCAAACTTTTCACAATCATTCGGGTGCAGTGGAATGGAGAAAAAGCAGTCCTTGATATCTATGGTTACTAAGTATAAGTTGCTTGGTATAGCGGGGGTCCATGGCAGTCCTCTCTGTGGCGTGCCCTGAAGGACCATCCTTTTATTGACCTCTCTAAGGTCTTGTAGCATTCTCCACTTTCCAGAGGCCTTTTTAATTACAAATACTGGAGTATTCCAGGGGCTAGTGGATGGGGAAATATGCCCTGCTTGGAGCTGCTCATCAACAATTTGTTGTAAGGCCTGCAATTTATTATCAGGAAGTGGCCACTGCTCCAC